AGAAGGCATCCAGTGCCAGCTTTTGGTCCATGAGCATTTAGAGGCATGACGGCAGGGATGGAAATGTTGCTCTGCCAGTTAGTTGGTACAGACAGTCGTTCTCAGATAATGAATCCTGTTGACTTTAGTCATCCTCCAACTTTCCCTCTAGCACCATGCTGAGGTTGACAGGTTTGGTTCTTAGTGAAAAGCCTCAACAATTATTAGATGGATTTCCTTGAATTTTGGCACAGACTATAATTTCTTTGTTGTTTCGCCTCAAGTTTCCTCTAGCACCATCATCTGGTCAAACTTTCAGTTTTTCCAAACCTTTAGTGACCAAATACTTGCTCTGCTAGCACGCTAACCTAAGATACTTGAAACATTAGCAATTTAGCTCAAAACACTGCAGTGCCCATAAGCATGGCCTCACAGCATGGCTACAGACTCTTCGACTTGCTGACACTTCCGGTCGGTAGCAAAAAAAACGGAATTTAGGTTACCCAGCCCCCCGCACGTCCCTGCCCTACCTTTTAGACCTTTACCATCAGCTGTGCTGTGAACTGCCAACCTTTAAGTCCACATTAAAGTTTACTGCCCTCGAGCTACAGGCCATTGATGTTCACACAAACACAAAGCAGGAGAACGAAATCTGCTCCAATCCTCCCTTAGCTCCGAACGACTGTAATTGTCTGCACCTTTTGTCTTCACCTTATCACAACCTGTCATCTCGCTCATATAATCACTTTCTACTTCTCTCTCATACGCACGCCCCATGCCTGAGACTGACAGATCATTGCACTGTCCTTCAGTCTTGTCTACAGCACTGTGTGTCCATTATTGTCTACCCTTTATCTTGACCTGTCATCTCTCTCTCTCTCTCTCTCTCTCTCTCTCTCTCTCTCTCTCCTCTGTCCTTATGCCTTTCTCTCTCTCTCTCTCTCTTTCACACGTACCACATAACCTCGCGGCATTGTTATGTTGGTTCTGTCCAACTCGGTGATAGACATCCAGTGCCTCAATAGGAGGCAATCTTAGTCCAACGTGGAGCCATTGTTGTCTCTAATAGAACGGACTGAGAGGTGAAGAGGAGCTATCGATTCAGCTGACGGAGAGAGGAGAGGGGAGAGGAGAGGGAGAACAAAGGAGGAGAGAACGAGAGGCTGTTGACACCTGGCTTAGAAAGAGAAACAAGGACTTTATGTTGGTGCACGGCGTGTCCCTTCATTCATGGGGCTTGAAGCGGGGCAGTTCCACTTAGTTGCTGGGTCAGATGTGGTGGATGGACAGATGGCGGGCGAAGAGGAGAACGTATGAATTATGAAGGAGTGAGAGTTGATTTCCTCCTGTTGCCTCAGCTGATCAAAGATCTGACATATTGGATTTGACAAAGAGGGGAAGTCAGTGGAAGAGGAACAGTCAGAAAATAGAAAATGGGACAAAAAAAACAAAAACAAGGAATAAAGGAAGGAAGAGAGAGAGGGGAGGGGAGAAAGGGAGAGGGATTGGGAAGAAGAGGAGGAGAGAAGGTGAAGGAATTTCAGGAGAGGCAGTTGAGACAATGGGAAATGTGAATGCAGAAAAAAAAAGAATGAAAATAAAGCAAAAAAAAAATGGTATTAGTGTCTCACCTCCATCGCAGAAAAACAACTAAACAACAATCAGTCACAAAATAAAATGCACTACAGCATGGAACAAAATGAAACACCAGGGAACACAACAAAGCAGAGGAGACATAATAGCATGTTCAAAACACTTAGTCAAGTCTAGTCTCATTAGCACCACCAGACAGATGAAACTAGACAGTGAAATGGAGAACAGAAGGTGGGAGAGGAGAAGAGGTAGAGATTGATAAAGGGAGAAATGAGAGATATGTTTGAGCAGTTGGATGAAAAAGGAAGAAAGCAAGATTTATAAGAGAAAAGAGGGAAATAAATGAATATGGAAGCAAGAGAAAAGGAGGGAGAATGCAATGGGGAATGCAGTAAAATAGAAGAGAGGAAAAGGACAGAAATGAGCGAGAAGAGAAAGTAAGCACCTGAAAAACACAGACAGAGCAGCTCTGAAAGCCTCTTGACCCTTAAATGCAGAACTATCTTTTTTTTTCTTTCTTTTCTTTTTATATCTTGTTACATCTCGATTGCGTAACTAGAGCAGAAAGAATAACCTTTTTTTTCTCCCCTCATTTCAATGAAAGCAGAATTCAGTCTTTCTTATAGAAGCTGAAGATACAGAAGAACATGCAACAGGATGAACCAGGGTGTCGAAAGAAGTAATCTTCAGCAAGACTTCTCATGCTGATCTCATGTATCTTACAGTCGTGTGGAGAGAACTCGTTCTCGGTCTTAACCTGTGACCTATAATCTATAAGTATTTTAAAGTTGTAGCTGGTGTAAATTCTTCACATACTGCTGGCTGTTCAATATTCAAGAGTTTGTTAAAGGTAGAGATTCTGATCAGGGGTAGAGCCGTGGATCAATGTTTTTACAATTCCCCTTTTTTATTTTTACCGGTATTGTGCAACATGTAATATAGGGACTGTATATAGGACATAAAGACGGCACGATCTCATTTGAATGCAAATTGCTTGCCTGGCACAAAAGCCAATAAAATTTCAGGTTTGCTTCTGTGTTGATTTTGCCAGAAGTAAAAAAAAAAAAAAAAAAAAAGAAAAGAAAAGAAAAACCAAGATACAATCTATAATTTCCTATGTGGAGAATTTTTCACCAAAAAGATGAAAAAGAGAGGCTGAAAATGTAAAAGAAAAAAGAAAAAAAACAGAAAGGAAAGTTGAGTCAGCAATGCAATAAAAATGATCAGTCATAGATTTTACAACAAGTTTTTTGTACAAGCAATCAGTTTAGAAATTGGAACACGGAGATTGTGACAGACATGTAGATGGACAAAGTGGCACCGATGAACAAAAACATGAAGACATCAATACAGTTTTGGAAAAAGGAACGTGGGAGACAAAGATATATATAAAAAAAAGCAGAGGCAAAATAAAGAATTTGAGAATAAAAAAGAAAAGAGATGAAAATAAAGTGATTGAAAAGCAAGAAAGAGAAAGTGAGCGCATGACATTTGGTATAAAGAGACTTCGAACAAAAAAGCAGAAAGAGGAAGAAGCTGGTGAGTGAGAAGCAGAAAGAGAGAAGGAAGGGCAGTTGATTAAAGCCAGCAGCTTCAATAATGCAAATGTAATTACTTGTACTGGCCCTCACACTTGCTTAGCACCTAACCGTATTAACACTGGGGTGGTAGAAAAAGAGAGAGAGAGAGAGAGAAAGAGAACCAGGGAGGGTTGAGAAGCTCTGCGCAGAAAATGGAGACAATATACAAATGAAAATTAGCAACAAAAAAAAAAAAAAACAATGAAGTGAAATTCAAGGATGACTCAGACAATGACAACAAATGTAGCACAGAGGAAATATGAAAAAATGTTAGGGAGGGATCATAGAAGGATGATGGAGGGAACACGATATAATCCCCCGCGCGTCTTAAATAGGGAAGGAATGGAAGTGGCAAACTTGGATGAATGGGAAGAAGAGGTTTAGTTATATTTAGGGACAATGGAGGCATAGAAGGATGGAAAGATGCTGTACATGGAGGAAATAAAAATAAATAAAAAAAAAGGCAGGAGGGAATGCGGCCTCTCCACTGCCAGCCCCTGATGGACTCAGGAGGACACATGCGCCTTGGTTCTGCTGAGCCTGAAGGACAACTGGAGCTGTTTATTGCTAAATGACTTCTCTCTCTCTCTCTCTCCCTCTCCCTCTCCTTCTTTCTCCTCTCTTTCTCCTTCTCATTTTCTCTCTCTCCTCCTCTCTCACTCTCCCCATCTGTTGGATAGTTTGCCACATCAGCTGTTCTCCAGCCACACTGAAATGACCCCTCAAGGAAATGTAATCCTTGTTGTGTATTTTTTGTGTGTGTCTATGCGTGCGTTTGTGTGTGTGGGTGTGTGTGTGTGTGTGTGTGAGTACATGCACACACAAAATGCTTATGTGCTATTCCCACACGTATTGTATTCTGCAACTTCAACCGAACCACACTGCCCACTCCTGTGATCATATTCACTTATTGCGTTCAAGATACGGAGTCATATCACATACAGGCCTGGTGTCCATCTCCCTACATTTGGCTTTACATGTAGCTCCACAAACACAGCTCCTGCCATCTAATGTTCGAGCTCTGTTAACCTGCTGGCGTTATTCAGACTACATGAGCTACAGAAACTACTTGAAAGGGACACTAATGAAAAGCTCTCAGGAATATTCTCTTCTTTGTAACTATGAGGACAGGACCCATTCACAACTCACCTGTTATGTTCTGACAGGCGCATTCACAGTCAGCCCGCTCCCTACTTTGTCTTCAAGGCCAGCGACGCGCATGTTTTGTCATGCCAGCGCTAGCTGGATGGCCTATTTTCTGTATTTACTGTTTTTAAGGATGGCTCTGGCTTTGTGTGAGGTGTGAAATGAGGCCTGGCAAACACTTCAAAATCTGTAATTGCCATTGCACTTTTCTCAAAATGAATCCTCAAAGTGAAAATGTGGAATTTCAAACCCTCTCGAGCGTGTGCTGTGATACACTGACTCTTAGGCCAAATGGCTGCAAAACGTCAACGTGAAACAGATCGTGTTCTGTTTTCTCAACAAGGGATCAATTTCACAGCTTGTCTACGAAATGACAAAGAGATTTGACAACTATTCCTTTAATAAAATATCTGCTTCATCTCATTACCTCGTTTTTATTTTGTTCTTTGCAATTTTTTTTTTTTTTTTTTTTTTAATGATGTGGTCATTCCACATTCACAGGGGGATTATCCACTTACTAATCTGACCTCTATGCTCCTCGTTGTTGGTTGTAATTATTTCTAGATTGTGTTTGAAGCCTTTTTCACACATTCATTGACTTTGGGAGACCGTGCACATATTACAGACCAGCTATTTAAAATTTTCACACTTGTAGATGGAGCATCAGTCCATATTGACTCCTGATTTTTTTCTTCTCCTCAGGACAACTATACATTTGCCCAGCCAGGCATCCAGAGAAAAGTCAAGGCCCTGGAGGAGCTGGTCAGCAGGATTGATGGTGAGTCTTCTGCCTCGTCTCCATTCACCCATCCATAAAGTACTTTCTGCTCACAGCTCTGCCGGCTTGACTTGATTTCTTTTTTCTTTTCTTTTCTTTTCTTTTCTTTTCTTTTCTTTTCTTTTCTTTTCTTTTCTTTTTTTTACCAATGGACATGCAAAACAATTCATGCAAATTTTTGTCTCTTAAATTTGTTTGTGTAAACTGAGAGAAAATGAGAGAAAAAACTGAAACAAATTCGTTTCACGATGTCACTTGTGTTTAATTTGCTCATGGCCTAAACTCAGCGTTTTGTGTATATCAGTTTAAATTCAGCTCTTACCTATGAGCGTTCTGTAGCTAAACAACCACAACTTGTCACTTAAATGAGGATTTCTTTCCACAATTTTGACTTGCGGTCCGCTTAAAATTTCTCTGATAGTTTGAAATCTTGTATTAGAAAAGGGTACACACCAGAAAGTAACATTTCACGCCTTGGTTCTTCCGGGGGTTTTGTCGGATTTTCAGTGACACAACACCGGGATTGTGTCTGACTAATTTTCATTCCACCCGGCTGTCAAGGAAATGTGTATGTGCTGGTGATTATTAGCGCAAAAAGCAATGGCCTGCTGAGCCCTGTAAGTTAATGAATGCGCGCCGAGTGTACTCACACGCAGCTCGATGATGTTTCACATACACCCGCGACTTAGTGTTAATTAGCCAAGCTGATTTTTCTCAGTCTCATTCCCCTTTTGTCGTAGCAATAAACGTGCAAATATCACCTGGATTTGCTTTTAGCGATCCGAAAGTCGCCTCCGTCACTTAAAACTCGCGTGGGGTTTGCAACGGACCATGATGCATTGCGCACAGCAAGGTTTTATCAAAGCATGCCTTTGTACAGTGGTCATGTTCTGGACTAACCTTGGTGCTGTCCGACTATCCTGTCACCCGCTCTGTCAGCCAGAGGCAAGGGAGGACTCGCTCTCTGCATTCAAATGGATGGGGCGAGAGAGTGCGCTTGCGTGCTTGCTTGCGTGCGTGTGCGTGTGTGTGTGAGAGAGAGAGAGAGTGAATGTCAGAGAAAGTTAGTGTGTATATGCAGGCCTGTCTGTTTGCATGTGAGAATTGTGATGAGTAAACTTGCCTATAGAAAGGGCATGTGTGTGTATGAGGGTCAGTGTTGGAGTGTGTGCCTTTTGTGAGAAGATTGTGTGTATATTTTCTATGTTTAGAACAAAATAAATCTACAAATAAGAAAAAAAAAAAAAAAAGAAACACCATCCGAGCTCCACCACACCCTGGCAAAGACATAAAAAATGACTCAACGTTTTTACTGTATCTTATTCCATAAGTGCCCTGTCATCATAGTTGGGGCAGAGCCATTTTATACCTCTCCAGCTTGACATTACCACCTCTAATGAGATCACAGATAGCTTTTATCTTGTGTTACAGGATTGTTTTTCGCTCGGCTGTCGACATAGCATCTGTTTTGGGAACAATGGCCTCTCATCTCTTCCAAAATTACCTATCAGCGCTTATCAGATGCAGGGTTATTCAGAGTGCTTTGTATTTTGACAAAGGGTGGCGTCCATGTCTTTTTACAACAGGCATATTTTTTGACTACAGATTTACCAATATTAATTTTTCGCTGTAGAAATTTCCAATTGCAGAATTGTTCTGTCTGTTAAAGATTTTTGTTAAAGATTTTCTTTTCTTTCTAGAGATTACTGAATCCATTATATATTTTATTACAAATTAGAGAACAATTATTCTCCATTAGAGAGTAGTAGCCTTCCAAAAAAGGCACACGAAAATGCATTAGCTGTTGCTATGAGACTTTGGTTTTCATTTTCAGCCTTCAGCTGGATATCTGATACGGGGACATTAGTAGTAGATGGGGTATTTGTTAAGACAATGGGAGGAGAGACAGGGATAACGGGAAAGAGGGACTCTGGGATGTTTTTTGACCTCAGCTCAGTGTTTTATTGCTGCACTGGGTCAGCCGGGCTAGGACATTGCTGATCTGTCCGTATCACCTTCTCTCTGCGTCTTTAAAATGACTGCATGTAGCTCCTCCTATGTGTCTGTCAGATGGAGGGGAAAACAAATGTGCAGTCACAGAGAGGGAAAGAAAGATCACGTGCAGTGTTTTTATGACCATGTCCACACTGTCCATTAATAACTAATCTTTTATCACAGTGAGCGGTCTCTAACTGACATGCTGTGTTCAGAGGCAACAGGGTAACAAAATATTGTTGGAGCAAAAACGAACTCGCCAGAAGTGTATTTCTTTGATATTTGTAGCTTTATACACGTTAGATAAATATTGTAATTTACCAACTGATGTGACCAACTGTGAGTCTTTGGAGACGGTTGGCAGTGTATTTCCCTCTGCTATGTCATTACACAGACATCAATGCACTGACCAAAGCTTGAGATCAACCTTCAACATACTTTCCAATTGGAATGATTGCCTGTGTTAAAGGCAGCAGAGAGTGCTTGCAAAATAATAAAATAGCATAATTTTTAGAGTCTTGAGACAGCAATAAATTTCAGTGTTTTAAGGATAAGCTTTAATAACTAATGTCGCCAGTTTATGTCCTGGAACGACTGGAAAAACACTCCCACCTCCCTGAGGTATTACTACTGAGGTGAGCTGAAGTGCACACACGCTCAGTCATCTTCACCCAAATATAAAAGAGCTACATTTTTCTTTTTCTTGCACAAAAATGTTTTTTTGCAGGTGTTCTTGAGAAATTCCATTTTAATTTGTTTTCTGTGAATCAGGTCCCGTGGCGTAAGCTCTAATTGAACTTGAAATAAGGAGGCCAAAAAAAAAAAAAAATAAGACTGCACTGATTTGTTGAAAAAAAAAAAAAAAAGTTAAAAATTAAAGATTATAATTTCTTTACTTTGATTCCTGGTGGGTGACATTGTTAGAAGGCTTTTACTTTGAAATATCTATGCTTCTCCTTCTGCTTTTCTACTTGCCCCTCCCTCAGACCCACACCCCCCTCCTCTGTAATTAATCCTACTTGTAATAAGTGACGCTAACTCCCATTAGACTTGTTTGACGCCAGCACGTGTACCCCCTCAAAAGACAAGCCACTTTGTCGGCACGCTTGTAATGTTTCTCTGATCTCTTTATCTCCCCCTTATCTCTTTCTGTGTATTTGTTGCATGCAAGTGTGTTAGCACAAGTTCATCAACATGCAAATTGCCCAAAGGTGAATTTATTTATGCAAATTAGAGGACGCACTGGTAGTGTGCGCTCTGAGCCTGAATTGTGTTAAAAGGCTCGTAGCTGGATTGTGGGACTGTGTCTCATCATTAAAAGGCTGAAAAAGTGCTACAATGTGTTTTTGTGGGTTTCAAAACGAAATTCAAGATAATTCGCCTTCTCGCAGCAGCGGTTGCTTTTCAAGATGGCCACTGCATTTTTTTGTGTTTACATTTTTATTTGTTTTATGCATGGAATTTTTGTTTCAGGAGGATTTAAAATTACAGTCAGGCTCTCTAGCAGATACATATATTTTTCATTTGTTTGGAAATTAAGTTCAGCTTCAAGCTAATCAAGGGCATTTACACCATTTTTCCCAGTCTTCCCACACAGCGTCCAGACATCACCCTTGCAATATTCATCACCCAGCACCCGGCTCTTAATTGCCTGCAGCAATTTCACATTTTACATACTTAACACACTGTATGTTAAATCTTTTCACCTCCATTTATTGAAGTTAAGACATATTAAACTACAGCCTTTTCTATACCAAACCCTTAGATCCCTACAGTGGCCATCGCTGTGCGTTTCTTTGATTTCAAACTCTGACAAGGTGTTGTGGTGTTTTTTTTGTTTTTTTTTTTGATTTTTTTGTTTTTCTTTAATTTTTCTTCCTCTTGGATCCTGCACATCTTGAAAAATAGGATTTCTTATGCTACTTCGGAAGCCACACACATTTACAAACAGCGAGTATTTATAATGTTTACGCATATTATTTACACTTTTCTGATCCTGAATGAGTTTTTGAAATCTGTCGCTAAAAATACAAAATAAACTCTGCTGCTCCTCTGCTTTCACGCACCTGGTTCCACATGAACAGTTTTATCATGCCTCATTTTAAGTACAGATATGAATTAGAAGCATTGTTGATGTCTGACAATGCACACACACGCGCGCACACACACACACACACACACACACACATATATCTATATATGTAGTAACATCATGAAAACATATCCTCCCCCACAATCGCTGCAGTCTCCCGCAGGCTAATCAGTAACAAATGTGTGACCTTGTGGTTGTTTGTTGTGTGAGAGGAATAATTAAGCAAGTGCCACTCAGTGGACTCTACCTTTTGTACTTGACTTGGTTGTTAAATGTTTTCATTTTTACCTGTTATAGCTGTGTCCTACAGGAGGGTATTTCTCTTTGTGTGACAGACAATCAAATAAACATATCATATGTAATGATAGTGAAAATAGAAATACGCAAATATACATTTAGTTTTCTAATTAACTATTACTATTTCATATCTATACTATTAAATAAATCCAGAAACACAGAGACTGTAAATAGCATGATCGCATACAAGCTCAACAGAAATTTCAACTAATGCATTTACTTTTAATAAACGGTGTGTGTTGTGTATTTTAGCTGCATGGAAAAGTGTCACGCACACACAAACAGATGCACCCCTCCCCCAAATGCTGAAAGTCCAATCATAGCTAAGCAACCGTAACTAGAAAGGGCTCAGCGAATGGTCAGTTACATACACTATGTAAAGAAAAAGACAAGAGAATGGCAGAAAATACTGCATACACAATGCTTACTTAGTTAGTGTGCAAGATCCTGGTTTCAGAGAGTCAAACACTGTCGATCAAACACGCCGCTGTCGCCTGGTTTGTATCTACAGCTGGATTTGTTTAAATCTGTGCTAAAACTGGCAAGAGTAAGATGAAAGGAAATGAATAAAGGTTGCAGTGAGATGAGCACATTTGTTGTATATATACAGTGTATTTACAGAGAGAATGGGCAAATGGCAATGGTTGATTTGTGAGGAACCAAATGACACAGAACAGATTCAAAATAAAGCAAGTGTATCAGAACAGACTGAGTGAGAGCAAGAGGGAAAAAAAAGAAAGCCAGTGGAGAGAGGGAAGTGTTTGACTGTAATTACGTTTTACACCAAGGAGAGCTTGAAGTCGGGGCAGAATTGGCCTCATCAGCAGAATCCAGGGAGCCGCTCACTAGTCACTGCACGACCTCTGACCTCCTGCTGTCCACCCCGCACCTCACCAGCCACGAGCCGCGGTCCACCGCGGAGAGCGGACTAGCGGGCCGACCGTGGCCTCCGTCCTAAACTTTAACCAGCAGTAGGAAGGAAGACAAGACTCATCAGTCAATCAGTGTCTATGAAAGATGTCATCCTTAACCTCCCTCAGCCCCCATAACTACGCTACCCAGCATGCCGAGCATTGTGCCAGCTGGACAGCAGCCCACAGTTTAAAAGTCACAAGTTTTAGCTGTGCAGTTGGTTGTGTATTTCTTTCTGTTTTTCTTTTATTTCTACTTCTCCTCTCGTCTCGTCATCCTCTCCTCCTCCTCTCCTCTCCTCTCCTCTCCTCTCCTCTCCTACCCTTCCTTCCTTTCCTCTCCTCTCGTCTCGTTCCTCTCCTTTCCTCTCCTTTCCTCTCCCCTCCCACTGTGCTCAGTCCTCATGACAAATGACTCTCCCTTCCACCACTCCCCCATCATGCACCTCTTCCTCTCTGCTTTTGGTGAAGTCACTTATATTAAGCAGAGCAGGTTCATTAGTGTCATTTAACATTGTCTAAAGTTGTTCCACTCTCTCCCTTTCTGTTTGGCAGCTAGCTAAGATCTGTCACCAGGATGCATACGCCGTTAATGAGCTTGCCTTGTTTATGCTTTTACAGCAGCATGTGATAATTAAACTGCAGAGAGGAGTGTGAAATAATAGCTTTGTGTTTACTTCGCGCCCCGCTCGTGTGGTGGAGTGTGTGCCTAATTGTTAGACATGCATGTGTGAGCAGTGTAAGACAGGTGTCATTCAAGTGTTTGAAGTGTGTGTTTGAGAGTATGAATTGCATGAAAGTGTTCTGGGCTAGAAATACCTTACGTAATGTTTCACCAATTAAAGCTTTATTAAAGCCGTGTGTGTGTGTGTGTGTGTGTGTGTGTGTGCGTGTGCGCGCTTGTCAGTCAGGCCTGATGAGGAGCACAGAGTGTGAGAGAGGAGGATGCTATAGTTCCTCCCGAACTGGCTTTTCTCATAGATTCTCTGACAGCTCTATAATTACAGCTCTATCATGAAATGTGTGTGTGTGTATTAGAGAGAGAAAGAGTGTCATGGGTTTGATGACCAAGAAATGGGGAGTCGCTGAATACTGAGTGGTATTTTTAATCTTTTGTTATGTAAAGATGCATAAAACAAACATTTATGAAGAACAGAGGAAGGAACAAAGGCGGCCGTTCTCAGTGTCACAGCCCCGTATGCGGCAAGTTTTCAGCTGACAGTTCTGCTTCTCGTCCATTCTTCTCGGCGAGCGCTGATGCCAGCCTGCCATGCCATGACACTGACATCCACACTGACGTTTGAACTCCACATGGAGAACATATTGAGACCGCCTGACGCAGCGTATGGTCTTCTCTCTGTGGCGGTTTATTTGGCAGTGGGACATAATCTGGAGTAATTATAGAAGGAGAAAATAACATTTTTATTGGGTATAAGGAGACAAATGTGGACATATAACAGCCAGTAAATGTTTCTGCTTGGATGTTGTGCCCAACAAAACAAACTGAGTGAAAACTGCGGTGTTGACTGATGCTTATTTTCAGCTGTTTCTTGATGTATTCCCATCTTGGGTTGATACCATAGAAGATGAATTACAGTAATGTGCGCAGAAAATCCAACATACCTACTTTGAAGAATAAGGCTGTTGATATTCTTTATTTTTCTCATTGTCAGCAAACGCCATGAAAAGACCAAAACCAACAATGAATCGATTCTACCTACACAGTTTTGTCTGTGAAGCCAAAGACTGATGTAGCTGATTCTTCTGTGTTCACAGACACCCATTAGGTGCATTCGAACTTTACGAACAGAAACCTTTCTGAGGAACCCAGTTCCCCTACCTGCGTTTCCACTGGAAGAACCAGGATCTAAATTAAGTTCATTCATTCCCAAAAAAAAGTCCCTGTTGGGCGCGACGTATTTTCTGGAGGTTGAGGAACTTTCGGGGTCAGCCTTGTAGCGCTGAATGTCACTCCACAGCACTGTGCTACACACCAGGCTGCTTTTTTCCTTGATCTTACCTGGGCTTCGGCCATGCAGCGGAAACGCAGATCACAATACGCTGGAGGAACTTTTACCCCTGGGAAAGTTCTCGGACATTAGGTCTTTGGAAATTAAAGTTCCTACAATTTTGGTAGAAAAGCATCTATGGTTGTTCATAAAACTATAAAAACACACCAGTGAGCCATTTACACAGAGTGACATTCTACTTCATCACAGTTAAAGCAAATACTGTTCTTTATTTTGAGTTGACCTCACATATGCAGTCCTGGTGCCGGGATTACCTGCTATTGCACCAAATGTGTATTAATCCGCCGTGAAAGTAGTTCCAAGCGAGAGCACTATTTGCTCCTGTTTGCATAACTTGTACTGAAAGTACAAGGTCCAGTAGTTTTAGAAAATGATTTGGCCTTTTTTTTTTTTCTTTTATGAAATTGTGTTTTTAAAGATTTACACCCTGGCGATGAGAGCCACAGGCAGGTTGGGAGAGTCGTAACAGATCAAGACGGACTAATGCATTTCTGAACCCCCCCCCCCTCCCCCGCCAAAGTTTTGATGTCACACAATGACTGATTACCAAAACTCTGTCCAATAAATCAGGAATTCATGAGTTAATGCGGCTGTGGTTTATAAGCCCTAGTGTACCTGACCTTGATGGGTAATTTAATATTTTATTCTCAGCGGTAACTACATGCACTCTAGTCATTGTGAAATTACAATATTTTTCATCCCTCTAGAAAATTATGTGACGACTGTTTCACAGAGCTCACAGTGCAAACAGGGCAAATGAGGCTTAACAGGAAATGCAGGAAAACTCTGACTCATAGAAAAACGCTGGAGAGACATATTTTATAACTCAAAGTGTGTTTTTTCGACAGGGACGACCAATAAGTGTGCCAAATAACAGCAGGTATTTACGACTTTAATTAATACTTAGTTCGGGGTGAAGAATCACACACATGTGCTTTGTATAGGATTAAAATCTCCCTACACGACTCCCCCTACACAACAAAGATAAATAGGCACAATCTTGTTAATAGCGACAGGAGTTTAGAGAGGTTTAGCACAGGCTGACCTTTTGTGACAAATTAACAAAAATATAGTTTTAATCAGCTCCTATCGGAAGCTATAATGTCCAAGAAATAATGAAAACACACACAATACATCACACATACACGCCTTCCATCCTCACCTCTGGATTGCCATTGACCTACAGTGTGTACCCTCCATTCCTCACTGGACTGACACACAATTGCTTTGAAGCTTTATTGAACGATGAATGCACTCCCTGTTCACATCGCAATTCGGTGTGTAGCTTTTCTCAGACAATTCTGATAGCTCTGTAATTACAGCTCTATTGTGTGTCTGTGTGTGTGTGTGTGTGTGAGAGAGACTGACTACAGCAGTTATTAACAGAGAGGAGCGTTATGAAGGAATCTGTCTATTTATACACTTGTTACTGTCACCATTGTTAATGCAAGAGCGTAAAGGGACTTTCTCTATCGTTTTCTTTTTACAAAAAGTAAAGCAAGCAGTTGAACTTCAATCTGTGTGTTGCTGGTTTTTTTGTTGTTGTTGTTTTTTTTTTTTTTTTAAATTACGATTATTATTATTTTTGGCAGAGTCTGTGCACCGCCACATGCAGCACTACGAGGTGGAGTACCTGCAGTTTGCCTTCCGCTGGATGAACAACCTCCTGATGAGGGAGCTGCCACTACGCTGCACGATCAGACTGTGGGACACCTTCCAGGTACACACAAACACACACACACACACACACTCACACACACAGCAAAGCTACTGTTATTGTGCTTTTTGTTATCTGTCCATTTCTATCCGGCTCTGCGTGAGATTTCAGAAACGGAGATATTCTCTGATAATGACATCTATGATTGCCTCAGAAGTGGCTCTTTTGTAATTCCTACCATTATATCCCAGCCAACCCATTGGTATGATGCAACATAATAAAGATTTTTTCTTTTTCATAAAGGTATTGAAACATGGCAGCTCGCTCTATGATATCCTTAATTATTCAGAGCTCGCGATACAGCCTTACTGTGCCGCTCGGCCCGATCACACAGCCAAGCTACTGACAAATTTACACTTAAGTTATTAGTTTCACAGCATGGGTGGATTTTATTCAGTGTTTGCACAACACGTGCGGAGTGAGATAGTGCTCTGTTGATGATGTATCGTAGTAGTGCAGGGGATGGACAAAAGATTGCAAAGAAGGAACAGTTTAAAAAATGTGAATTAAAAAAAGATAAAATAAAAAAAAAAAAAAAAAAAAAAAAAAAAAAAAAAAAAAAAAAAAAAAAAAAAAAAAAAACATTTCCAGAGAAGAATTATGTGTGAGGGGATTGTGAAGGATTAGTTAATTCACAAATGAAACAAAGATGTGCGTAGCCTCTTTCATGCATGGAACAAAAGTTTTAGGCGTTTTAACTTATGGTTTAATTTTCATTTTATGGCTGCCGTGTTCTTTTGTGTGTGTGTGTGTGTGTGTGTGTGTGTGTGTGTGTGTGTGTGTGTCAAAGTAAAGCCTATTACCGTGTTGACCTAGATGTATAAATGAGAGAGAGAGAGCGAGTGAGAGCCGGATCTTAATCCCATTCAAACACATGTGGACCTGTTCATTTCGCTGCCCTTTCACATTTAAACACTGCTTAATAGGCGGCACCTACAGTTATGCCAGACTGTTAACCTCAGTTGGCGTTGTCAATAACACGTAATGTCTGCTATCGATTCAGCGGGGTGTGTGTACATGCTGGGACATGTGTGGGTAGTTCAGGGCCTGAGCTGAGTAGATATAATGGATTTTCCAGCTGATGCAGAGGTTGAGAGTGTAAGACGTGTGATCACATCAAAGTGTTTGATTAGATGTGGAGAGCAGAGAGGAGATGAATAGGGAGTAAAGGTAGGGTTTAAGATGAACTCCCTTCATTGGTGGCACTTTCTACTGTGCCAGGTGTTTGCGCAACGTCTTGGCAACAGCGTTTGCAGCTGTTTTTCCGCTGTTCTTTCTGCTACCGTTCTCAGCATCTTCATCAGCACTTGGTGGGTTTACATCCCCCTGTTTTTATGCGCATTCGCAATTCGCAGACAAAGAAAAAAAAACCTGAGTAGGAATGCTGGAAATTCTAAAAAAAGTAGTAGGTGGAAAAGATGGTTGTTAGAAGCAAAATGCGACAAAGTGCTATGGAAACAAACGTAATTAATCATGAAACATCCACTGAAGCTTTGGCTCCACAGAAGAGGTGTAATATAACAGCAGACAAAAACATCAGAACTGTGTGGAGCGATGTGGAGCCTGTAACCTTCCTCAAATTAATACATGAAACAAACAGAAATGCCATCTTTCCATAATGTTTTCTACATTGTTTTTCACTGTTTGAGGTTTAACTGGTGCTCTTTTAATTAACTTTATCTGGTTGCGCTCTTCTTCTACAACAGTTTGACGTCACCCAACTGGAGAATTAGTTCCTTCCACGTTTGCTGAACTCAAAAGTCTGACAATTCCTGGACATGTGATGTCACGTGAAAGTCAGAAAATTGTTAAAACTGTTTTGAGGCTCACTGAAGCTGCTTAAATAGTTGCTTCCCATTAACACATATATGACCCAGTAAAATATGAGCTTCTGTCAAGTAACAGTTCCTATATGAGACCCATTGTGGTTACAGTTAAGTTCCCGAGGGAAACAAAAGGAGAATGTAGGGAAAGGATGAGATGGTGGATAGGAGAGAGGAAGCACTGGAGAGCCTCACATCTTATTTTATGACACGTTGACTTTTTAATCAGTTGCTAAATTCTAACAAAGCAAACTGTTATATGCACACAAGAGCTGGTGATATTTTTAATACAACAATTTTAGCTTCAAAAGATTTATATTTTTAATCTTTTAATATCTTTAATCTTACAAAATTGTCCCTGCCTGTAAAACTCCCCTTCTTCTCAGTGACATAAAACTGCTGGGTCGTCTACAGCACAGCGCTCATGAACTTGGTGAAAAAATGAGTTGAGAACATTCTTTCCATTCACTTGACTTATGTTCGTGTTTTGGTTGACCCGATAGCAGCACTATGTTTTTCATAAACCAACCTCCCGGCCAGCTATCCGTTATAATTACTGATAGCCGTTGAGTTTTATTCTAGTAAAGGACTGATGCTAAATCAACAACAACAAACTCTCTCGTGCTCTCCATCGTAGGAAGTTCTTCCTCGTGTATTTTTGCCTGAGCCGCAGACAGCTGGCAGTAGACATGAACAAACCTTGAGTGGTAGAGCTCGATGAGAACGCTTTGCAGGTGTTTTTCGTTTCGGAGACGGTACAAGTCTGTCCTGCAGACACCCCGGCGGGTTTTCTGACACATTTCCTTTTGAGGAGATCCTGGTTAAAGTTATTCTTCAATGAATGTATTGACAGATAGATTAAAGAAAGTTTAGATGAAAAGAGTAAAAGACCTTTACAATACTGTTATTATCCTGAGAAAGAAAATAACACATAATTGGTCATATTTTGAACACTAGAATGACACTCAGCAGAGCGCTTACACCCCGCCAAGGCCAAACAATCCTATTACCTGCAGCAAATTGTGCAAAGTCATATATGTCAACAGTATAAATATGTCTGATTTTTCACATCAGGATCCAAACATTATTTCCTGAGAAACTGACAAAAATGTTGCAAAGTTTAAGGAAAGTGATAAAAAAAAAAAAAATTAAAAAAAAAATCCTGGATCTGTCCCTTTAACTGGATCCACACTAAATGCCCCATCTCGCCACCAAGTTTGGTGCAAATCGGTTCGGTTCTTTTTGCGTAATCCTTCTGACGGACAAACAAACTGACAAACACACCAACAAACCAACAAACGCAAGTTAAAACATAACCTATCTGGTGGAGGTAACAAGCTTGTTGGTATTCGAATATACTAGCTGACAGACTAATGCTCTATGCCTGCCCCTGCTCTATGTTCTAATAGTCTCTATTATACATGATGTTGGCATGGTTTCCATTGTAACAAGCAGTTATTTTTCAACATGCATCATCAGTTAAGAGCTCAGCGACCAATCCAATCTTCATGCTCCTGAAAGGACAGAAGTAAAGCAGAAAGGATGAGCGAGGGCATAAAAATCTAATGAGCAAAACACAGAGAGAGAGAGAGAGAGAGAGAGATGCAGCAAGAAAAATATGAAGGGAACAGAAAGTCCTGCTTTCAAAATGGATTTACTGCATCATAAACCTCTTCTGTTCCAAAGAAAAATGCATAATACCTTGTCCTGACATTTAGTCACAAGTCATGTCTCATTTCCAGAACATAATTTACACCTTGATGCCAGAACAGTGGGTACATTGATGGATGAGTTAACACCACCGGGAAGCCTCAGTTTAAGTTGTATCTGTTATGATTTTGAATAGTTTTTGCTGATTAAAAGAGGCACACGGTACATGTTTGTTTAAACAGGCCACTACTCAAGACATTATTGGAACTATCTGACACACTCACCAAACAGAACATTATCATTGGACAGTTCCGCAAAACCACACATTAAATTAAATGGAATTTTGAATGTTATATGTCTGTGTTTTAAAAATGTATTATTCTTGCAGTGTCCATTCTTGGCAACTACATTATGGATAAGGTTAGACATTTGAAAGTAGTTGGTTAAAAGAGTGCTCCATCAATTTAGCTTCGTTCTTCATTGCTAGTGGTACAGTGGCGGTTTCAAGGGGGGAAAAAGTCAAAATCAATGCAGCAGAATTAGAGTTTTATTCCATTATAATCTTGCTTCAATTCAAAACCAGGCGCCTACATTACCCACAGTGTGACTTAATCTCAAATAGTTTGGTTAGAGACAAAGGAGCGGTCAGTGCAGCCTGCAGCTGCTAGCCTTAAGCAGAGATGAGGAGTGGGCTCTTGGAGCCTGGTATTCTCACTCATTTCTGCCTACACACTTTTTTGAAGTTTTCAAACATGTAGTATTCAGGCCCAAACCTGGTTCACCCACCTTACACATTTCCTTCGCAGGGTGGCTTGATTCACCCTTAGAAAAATCAACAGAGGAGCTCAATAATCTAGAAGCTGGTCTGAGTAGAACTGCTGCTCCTTCGCATTGAATGGATTCAGTTGAGTTGAATTGGGCACCTGATTCAGACGCTTCGCTTGTTTAGCTTCCTGTGCTGTGTCTGGGCTCTGCCTTCGGAATATTTCCCAGGGAAATGCTCTGGATTCATCATAACTTAATACATTTAATGTTCAAACTGAATAATGACAAACCGTTTATTAACCTTTGCAGCATGATGGCTGGAACTATAGATAGATGCCTTAGATGTAAGAAGGCCTTTTGGTTTGAACCTGACAGGCCTTGTGAAGTTAGCATGTTCTTCTGTGGGTTCCCTGCTACGAAGACCCTGTTGACCCTGAAACAAATGAAGTGGCTTTGGATGGACGGAGTCTACTGACATGACTGTAACCAAGAAGTACAGTGTGAAAGAACAACATCACAAACCACACTCATAGGCACAGCGTCCACCTCGAGTCTAAAAAAGAAACAAGGAATGAATGATTAAACGGTGTTGTTGCTTTGTCGTGACTTGACAGCGGCCCAGCTACACATTGTACTTGTAATCCATCCTCTAAATATTTGATGTTTTACAATGTCGTTTGGATCGCAGCCTCGACACACATGCATGCACACGCCCCACACACCCTTCCAGAAAACACACAAACACGCACATACACCTTTTTTTTC